CAGTACGAAATTATGCTTGCGTTTAATTCGTTCCTCAGTTTCCGAACTTATTACCCCAATAAGTTTAACAGCTTGTTCAATGACTTTTTCAGGAGTGCTGTTTATGTCGCCATAAATCAACTGGTCGACTATTTCGCCGGCTGATGGCCTGCTACGACTAGCAGAGGCGTATTTTTGGACGACTGAAGGGTCGAGAGGTTCTACATGTACTAAAGGGATTTGTGAGTTAATCAGATCTGCAGACGGCGAAGAACATACGCTAGCACCTGCTATTTCTTCAGTCACGATTTTAGCACAAAGAGACGGTGGGGAGGCCGCAAGCTTTCGCCGTTTAGCACGTGCTCTGCGGGGCATTACAGACAGGAAAAGGTTTTCGTTACAGAAGAAGGGTCAACACGTTGCCAACGTACGGAAAATCGCACTTAATAGCAAGTGCTACTGTTATTTAACTACGAAACATAGAAAGAGATAGTAGGGAAAGGAGTCACTACAAAGGTTCTTTTTACAAAATACGACTATTTTGCAAGACTGTCAAATAAAAATGGGAAAAATTATATCTTGTATTGAAAGACGACTATTAAAAGGGGCTCAAGTAAAAAACAGGCATTAGTTGCTAAAGAATATCTAGATAAATGCATGGCCTCAATTATCACATCATCAATAAATTATACAGAAGAACAATTCACAATTCGCAGCAGCCCCGTGCAGGCCTTAAAGAAGCGTAACACGTTCTAAGTGATATCTTACGATGAAACGAAGCTCTATACGCACTAAAACAAGACAAAGATATCATTCTAACTGCTCACAAGGAATGTGCCACTACCGTTCAGGACAAAACGGACTAAACAGAGGAAATGATTTCGCTCTTAAAAGATGATTATACATACGAATCTCTGGCTGCTGAATTCATTTATTGAGAAAATGATAAAACGACTTATTGCAAGGAAATCAATTTCGGTAGTTCTTGCCAAGATATATGGTCTTTCTAAAATCTACAAACTTCCTACTCCGCTGCTACCGACACTCTCCCTAATTGGTGCGCCCAACTGAAATATTAAAAGTGGCTATATCACCTACAACATCCACTCAGGACTCAAGAGTTTCTGGACAAATTAAAAGGATTCAGCAATAAATGCGACGAGATAATGGTATCGTTCGATGTGGGCTTGTTCTTCACCTCGATTACGCTAGAATTGGCGAGGAACCACATCGAAGAACTGTTTCAGACATGCAGTTCGGAAGCTCTTAATACTTTCTCTTCTGTGCCTCCAGGTTTACCTTTCTTTAGAGCATCCTGACTATCGATACTATATCGTAAGTCTATATGCATTTAAGAGAAGACTGCGTCTAACCTAACCCTGATTCTATCACTTTATTTTCCTCATCCTTCCCGATAACCTACCATCATGACATTGAGAAAAAAACCTTGACAATTAACGAGACCGTGGATAGGAATCTGTACCCAGACACAATCAGCAAACAGCTCTGAGGAGTGTCAGCAAAGACGACGCTACTGCACACTTGATTACGAAGAATATTCCTGGTTAGTTTAATCCATCGGGTCGCTCACAACAAGAAGGGATTGGGCTCTGCGCAAGTGACTTTTAAAAAAGTGAAATTGCTGAACTCCAGAGTTATTTAAAGTGTTAAATCGTCATTGTATAGAAACTAGGAAATACACTCTGCAATCAGATGGCAAGGTCGAAACCAGTTTAAAAAGGCAGAGTTGCGTGAAATTCACTTCAATGTGGACTGTGGCCCTCGTGTGTCTAGCACAATTATTCCGCGTCGAAACCTGGCAGTTCTGCCTGACTTCAAATCATACCTTTCGAAACCACCACATATTACCCTTATTTATATACGTATATAGTGGAAGAAGGGCGCTCACCGATCGCGTAACGGAACTCACTTGTCCTGTTGTGCTTTAGGGCTCCCTCTCTTACCAGCCCAACCAGCAGCCGCACAGCAGTGCATGATATAGATAGAATAGCATTACTGACATAGACAAAGGAGACTGTGACAGCCATTTCGGACTCAGTTGCCGCCGTCAGCCAGTCATACCCAACTACTAGGTGTGAAATATCTTGGGCTCGACACCGCGACCTGCTAGTTAGAAGCCCAATGCCTCTTAACACTGAGCCAAAGGCCCGTTTTCCTCGCGGTTGCGATCGTGTAATAACGAAAGTGTAACAACGTTTTTGCACATCTGAATTCTGACTTCCTTGTGCTGCTAATAAACTTACGAAGGAACAACACCACTAAAACCCCCCCCCCCCCAATCCAAGAACAGCTCCGAGATATTGTAATAGGTAGATTTCGATCAGAGAACAAAAGAGCGGAAGTGCTTCCGAGTGATATCTATTGTTTTTTTCTAACCAACAGTTCGTCACGGCGCCCAAGTCATAATGGTCGCACTCAACTTGATAAAAGTTAGGCGACGGCTACGGAAAATTTTCACAAACATTTCTCAGTGTCAACATGTTACAGCACTACCCGGGGCAGGTCGAATCGTAAGTTTAAAAGGGGTCAAGTTGGTCACTGGGCCTGCTCCTCCATCAGGTGATTCAAAGAATCGGCCTACGTTTGGTAATATACGAACACTGGATGATACACGAGCTTGACATTTGCCGATCTCCCGTGCTTGAGTAGCGAAGTAACGGCATCAGGACAGGCAAGGAACCCACTGCTCACGGGGTTTCTGACCTAGACCATTATGATTCAGACAGATACTGCACAGTCGGGAAAAAAAACAAAAATGACAGAAGAAATTATTAGGCGGAATGATTCAAAACTGCAAGGGGATCACATGCACATTATATACATATATATCTTTTATTAAGAAAATCAGGAGTGCTTTTCGCTTAAAATGCGTGGCGACCTTTCGGAGGAGGGTGACATCCGGCCAAAAAATTCTTCTATGTTCCGCCGCACGCCGAGGTTGTAGAAACCCCGGCTAGAAAGTCTTCCAGAGCCGCGTTCACTGTGACAGTAGCGTTCGTATGTAGTCTGGTTTGTC